AAAATCAATACAGACCAGGATCTGGTGGCTGATGAATGACACCCCCTTGTAAATGTCTCTGAAAAGAGGAAGAATGTTTCTATGGAGGAACAACAGACAATGTTCAGCCTCTCTGACTTGAACCCAGAACTTAGGTCACACTTGACTTTAGTGGATCAATGATGTTTCTGCTCTCTTTCATAAAGAGTTTCCACATCTAGACTTTGATCTCTTCCTCCTCATCAGAAAAGGCCTGTGGTGATTTGCAGCTGTGGGAATGAGTAGGAGAGGGAGTGCTGTTGCTCATCCTCGTTCCCTTCGTGAAGGACCCTCCATAATGACGAGACAGCACGTCAGCTGCCCTCTGGAACCTTTCCGCCTCCATTGCGGGCTCTGCTCTCTGAGGAGACCCCATGCTCGCATCTGGCGTCCTCAGGGACCGCCTCTCCTCGTCTTGCTCTGTCCAGTTAGGGCTACAAGAGCGCCCCCTGTTGTTCATGTTCCTGCTGAATGACCCACTACCTGTAGAAGAGTTTGGTGAAGTCACGCCAGGGCTCTGCACAGGCGTCTCTGTCAGAGAGCTGTCCCCCTCTTCCTCTCCCTCCTCTTCCTCACCTGCTGCCTCGCTGTGATTGGACATCTGAAGACAGCTGGGGTTGTCAATCAAACTCAGTACCTCAGTCATTAGGGAAGGGCCAAGGTCTACTGTGAACGAGGTGAGGGAGTCTGATCGCGTCAGTGTGATGCCATCGCTGTCGGACAGAGACGTTTTCCGGACATTTCCTTCTGGGAACTGTCTGTCAAGGCGGGAGAGGCGGGGCAGAGTGACAAATCCAGACTGTAGGCCTGCAAACACACAGAAGAAGAACACACACAGAAGTCACTGAAATGAAAAAAGAAAATCAGCACCCTATGAGGACATACTGCCTATGGGGGTGGGAGATGTGACGTAGTGAGAAGACACTGTTCGTTTTACACCAATGGTGGCTCCCATAGAGGTTAGCGTAGAGTAGTATTTCTTCATTGAAAGAAGCACAAAGATTGGCACTGAAGGCTTTTCTTAATGGAAAAGATGTTTTCACTCTTCTCCTGACTGGCTTCTGTAAAAGTTACTATGTTATATGGTTCGTTGATCTGATTGGTTGAAGTTTGCTTGTGATAGACAGATGGCCAGTATTTTTTTGAAAGCGCCTGTCCTTTTCCAAACAGTGTCTGTGTTAGGTTGTTGTCAGGTTAATGTGTAGTTGTCACTGAATTTAAAGTTATGTTTTTACTCTATTTCAACCTGCTCACAGAGGGAGTAAATAATATGGGGCCTTGAAGTCTGAAGTATAATCTGTTAAATAACCTTCTAGCAATTCAACTCTTTCACCACAGGGTGGCAGTATGTAACAACCCAGTAACCCACTGCTGGAAAAAAAAGATTTTTGGCTCCTGGACAGATTTAATGTTACTAACTGTCAGACAGTAGAAAACAGGATGAGACGTAAGAAATATTGAGTAAAGAAGTCCAGTAAAGACCCGGATGAAGGCCACAAGCAGAAACACCTTGGTCTGAAAACAAACTAGTGTTGCTGAGGTTTTTACCTCTTAAACGTTTTCCCTTTCTCCGTGTACTTCGGAAGCTGGTGAAGCTGTGCCAGAAATATCTACTCTGCTTCCACAGTCCAATAAAGAGGGAGGGATGTTCAGCTGATAATGCTTTGATCATTTGTGAAGAATGAAAGAGGAATCATATCTAATTTAAATTAAAGGTTTATCTTTGTAATATTAGAATCTCAATGTTAAGCTTTTCATAATAGTTTATATCCAGTTGGTACGTACTGTAGTTTTGAAATACTGGCATTGATTTTGATTAGTGGTGGACCTGTAGTTACTTTCAAGACTAACAACATTTATAACAAACAACTAAGAGAATATGAAAAGATGGATGGAAATAATGACATGGATGACAAACTGAGAAACCCACTCATGACAAAAGGTTCTCATCATCCTTCACTGACTCTCAATATCATGTCCACATCACTCTGTTTGGGCAAATTCCTTCTGACTTGGGTAAGAAATCTGGAGAGAGAAAGGGGATTTCCAGTCCAGACTGTGCACGCTGCTGCCTGATAAGCTCCGATTGGTTAAAAGATATAATGAATGGTGTGTTTATGCTGTGCATTCAGGCAGTGACACACACACACACAGAGATGAGAGGAAATGCACACTAAGTATATTTCTTTCTCGCAAACCAGCTGTGTGTGTTTTTGTTTATAGACCTAATTGTGTACAGGTGTTGCCTAGGTGATTCCAGATGACTCAGAAGAAGCCAGATTGTTTGCTGGTTGTCTTGGAAGAATGTGGGAACGATGTTGAAAGGGAGAGGGCAACCTCACCCTCTCTGTTTGTGTGTTCGCTGACATTTATAGTCCTGTTTGCGCCAAGTCAGCTCAGCCACTCTTTATGCCGTTTGTTCTGCTGGAGAGTGAATTGAGAGAACTGCAACTGTAATATAAAATACCACCAGTGTTTTGTTGTTGACTAATGCCGTGCTGCTCTGCTACTCGGCTTTGGCCCATAACTACATCTTTGGTCATTCTGTCTGGGTTGCAGGAGCTTTTAGGAACTTTTTGCCTACATCAGACGCAAAATTTAAAGTGATGTTCTGCGCCTCGAACTAAAAATATTATTTTACCAAGTCTCATTGTTTTTTCAGAATAAATTATTTTGTATTAAAGGACCAGTGAGTTGGATTAAGTGGCATCTAGCGGTGAAGTTGGAGATCACAATTCTCTTCAACCTCCCCTTCCAAGCGCGAAAGAGAAACTATTTAACAAATTTCCCCCTGGGGATCAATAAAGTATTTCTGATTTCTGTGCTACTGTAGAAACATAGCGGTTCAACATGGCGGACTCCATGGAAGACGACCTGCATAAAAACGGCTCATTCTAAGGTAACAAAAACATAATGATTCCTGTATGCAGGTGATTATATAACAATGAAAACATACCTATAAATATTATATTCTATTTCTGCTGAAAGATTCTTCTAAACGTTACACACTGGACCTTTAACAGCAAGAACCCAGTTGTTTGAGGTATTTTGCTGAAGTTTACATGTTTTCCCATTGACTGTCCTGATTTTTATCCAAAATAAAAACTGTACATACTTTATATTACAGAACACATAGTGAATAATTCATTTACTATCTGTGACAATAGTTCAAGTGAGGTCAAAACTAACCTTTAATGCAAAACGAAGTGAGGACTACTCAAAAATGTCAAGCTGAAAGCTGAAGTAAATCAATCCTGGGTGTCAGTGGGAAAGCTTCCACCTGTGCTTTTTAAGTAACAATTACAAAATGTGCCATAAGCCTATCATCAGCATATGACATAATCCTGTTCATGTTGTTTGACCTTTTTCAGTCAACTGTGCAGCCTTACTGGCTGTAGATGCTGTTACACTCATAACACCATGCCTTATTGTTTACCTAATAAACCATTACAGTATGAGTATGATTTATGACTTTTCAAAGAATATTACATTTTCTCAGCTCACTTTTAATGAAGATGATCTTGCTGCTAAGATGCTTTATATAAATCCTGTCCCATGCTGGAAGTGATTATCTATATTATCTCACCATATGCACAGAGGGAGTCATCTGTGGAGCTGATGGAGCTGGGAAACAGCATCCTCTGCAGGCACCCATTAGGGGAGTCCATGTTCAGCTGTGGTAGGGAGATGGCATTCTTGATGATGGGTGAGATGTCCGGTGGTGGAGATGACAAGTCACGGGAGCCCCCTCGCGGCCGGGGCACAGAGGTCTTCCGCACATGCCGAAAGGTGCGTGTGAAGAACCCGGTCTTGGAGCTGTTTGCCGAGTCCGGACTTCCTGGCTCCCTGGTGCCCCCGTAGTTGCTTAGGAAGGAAGTGTCACCAAACACGTCCCCGCCACGGCCGACATGCATAGTATGTCGGAAGTCACCCAGCGGCGGGCTGATCATGTCCACGGAGAGCTCGCTCTTGAAACGACGTTTCCCCTGAGAGCCAGACACAAGGCCCTTAATCCCTGGCAGTTTTCCCAGACTCATGGTGGCAGAAAAGTTGTTGATTTCCCTTTAATTCGAATGAGTGTGTCTGAGCTCTGATTACATGTCAGTCAAGTTTAAATTCCGGTTTAGGGTCCACTGTAAAACCAGAGAGAGAAAAAAATAAATTAAATGCCGGCAGAGTGAGAACAGAAAACACAAATATGTGGTTGTTCAGTCGGCAGAGAATGTGTGTATAATCCATTCTCCACACGGCCAGAGCCAACTATTCATCCACTGTCGGCCCACGGTTTCCCTTTTGGACCTACACTGAAAGATGCAAGTATTGCTGCAGAGTCAGTCAAGCCCCCGTCTACATCTCCTCTTTCTCTCTCTCTCTTTCATGTACAGCTATTACTGCACGTCTGTCCAGAATGACCAAACGCTCAGCTCACTTCTCCTGCACAACAGCGGCTTTCAGTCATGACAAAATAACAGAGAAGATGAAATACAAGGTCATACTTCGTTTCCTCTGGTTACCACAGCTTATGTGGTTCGAGAGTTTGGGGCTGGCTGGATCCTGATTCAGATTTGGTTCAGGGAATGACAGTTTAGAAATACCAAAGTCCTGCCGCAACTGCAAATACACTGAGATGTGATTTCAGCCAAACAACTCAGCTGGTCTGTGTGACACAAAAGTACAGAAACAGACTGATGTTTACACTGTGTTCACTTAATTTTATATATATACTTGGAGAACTGTCTTGTTGTCAGTCTCAACTTACGTTTTGCTTGCAACACTAAGAGGATAACCTCACCAGGAAGCCTCGTAAAACCAAAGTATTTTTAATTTGTCTTTCACCCTAACCCAGTAAAAGAAGCTTTTAAGTAGCAGGTAGGAAGAATTTTAAAGACAAAGTGAGACTGGACACCGGCATCCTTGACCAAACTTGTAAATAACTCAAAATGTCATTGGATTGAGGCACTTTATAGACTCATTTCCACCTTACTGTGGCGCCCCTTCTCAATATTATTTAGGTTTCAGGTAAGCCTACAAGGATTAGTGCCCGAGTTTATGTCTGAGGTGTTACTCAGTTCTCTGTGGTTTTTAACCTTACACACCCACTACACTACGACACGTAGCACTTTAGCATCCACTCACGCTCATCCTTTCTTTTACTGATTAGGGTTGTACATTTCTCCTTTTAGCTTCAATTAACTGAAATTAAATTCCTTCTCTTTTCAAGAAAGTAATTCATAAAACACAATTAAAGGTCAAAACAGTGTCTCCATTCTGTTGCTTACTGGCACTGACTCCTTTTCGCTTGTGTATTTCATCAGTTTTTCTGCGCTTGTCTTGCTCAAACTCCAAGCAGAGAGAGCGGGGGAGTCCACTGCCATGCACCGTCTCCCACTAAAGAGGTTTATCCATGTGTGGCACCACACCGTCCATGGGACATCCTGTCAACAGGCCTGTGACCCCTCTTCTTTTTTCTTCGGTTCCCTGGTCCCTCTGTACCCGAGACGCCAGACCTTTGAGAGGTTATCAGAGCAAAGGAAGAAGGAGGGTGACGCTGTCTTGAAAAGGGCAATAAAGTAAGGTGGCGTAATCCAGCAACTGTTTTGTCTGCATCATCCTGGAAGAAAGATAAGACTCCTGCAGGATTGTCCATGCACTGGATTAGCTGCTAATCCTTTCTGTCTTCCCTCCCTCTCCAACTCCCTCACTTGCTCTCTGCCTTCTTCAATCCACTTAGTCCTCCAATGGTGTCTGGGTAGGGGGGCTTCTGTGTTCTCATTCAGTTCACTTAAGGCCAGCAAAGAGAACAGACAGGGAGAAAAGAAGAGAGATGTTAGTTACACACTACACCAAAGACTAAAGCAGGAGCATTCAGGCGCACATAAATGTGTCAGGCAACTCAAACTTTGGCTCGGCTGGTGCTGGGAATGTCTTTCTCTCTCTCCATTGCCTGTGGAGTCTGCAGGTTCTCAAGGATTTCTGCAGAACCAGAAAATCTGAGCTCACCGGGAACTCTGTGTCTTTGAGTCTTTTGTGTACGACTCTGTGAACGATGAATATTAATTTCGGCACAAGCACTTTCAATTATTCTCTCCTGAGTCAACAGCACTTTTCTACAGTTATAAGGTTTATAATCATATTCATTTAAGCATTAAAACCATTAGGACATTAGTCAATCCACAATCTTAAACTATTACTATTTTGACTATCGATTATTTATGTAAGTTGTCCATTGAGGACAAACATTTGCATTTGCTGCTTTTCTCTGGTTTTTATTCTCTTTTAGACAGCTGGTTGGACAGAAAATGCTATTTCAAGACGCACACCACCTGGGACTGAGAAATTGTGCTTGGCATTCTTCATATTTTATAGACTAAACAATGAATTAGTAAATCCAAAAAATAACAATTAATTGGTGAAGATCATTAGTTGCAGTTTATATAAGTTGTTCTATGGAAATATATATACACACACATTTATTTTATTTATTTAGGGTATTTGTTTGCCTTTATTAAATAGGACAGCTCAAGATTGACAGGAAAGGGGAGAGAGAGGGGGGATGACACACGGCATACAGCCTCAAACCCACGGCCATTTCAGCAAGGAGTTTTGGTATATACAGGCCTAGCTCCACCAGTTGAGCCAGCAGGGAGCCCCGTACTGATGTTCCTGATGTGATGTTTATGTTAGAGGGAATCATTGCAGTTGTTTACATTAAACATGATGTGATGTGACATAAAAACAAAAAGCCTTGTCTGCACACAGACACAACATTGATACTATAAACCCACTTCTCCAGAGATTTTTCCCACAACCTCCAAAGGCCCTGTGTATCTGTTTTTCCTGGACACACTCTGAGCACCGTCTTCCTGTCTCCTGGAGAAATGACTCTAGGGCAAAGGGAGCACTGATAAGCTCCAAACACGTGACCTCTCCAAACTGCAGCCAGCATTGGATTAATGTCACCGGAGTCACTAGCCAGTGCTGCTGCCAGGCCAATCTGGGCATGTGATATAACAAATTGAGCAAGGTGATGGTGCCACTCTTTCTGGGCACTGCTCTGGGCTAAGATTACCTTCCCTAAATCTTAAAGTAATCCCAGTTGTTCAACATGACAAATGTTCAGGGGCGGCCATCACAGACAGCATTCAGTGCCTGCAACCTAAACATGGGAGAGGAAGGGATGATATGATGGAAGTACAGGTGTGACAGAAGACAAATTTGTAGGGTGACCATTCATAAAGAGGAGATGGGGAGGTAGGATGGATTTTAGCTGTTGCCTGATCCCACAGCTCAGTAACATTAGCTTAAAGGAGCGATTAGGGCCTATGGGGCACGAGAAGGTGAGAGGCAGATAACCGAGACAAACATCCACTGTCCCAGATTGATGAATACCTTTAAATACAATTTCCGTCCCTAAATCCCTAACCAGCAGGGCTTTTTTCTCTTTCTTCCCTCAGTAATTTTGGTGCTGCTTTTCAGTCATCGGATGCCTAATTTAACAAGTTTTCTCCTACTTTTATAGACGGCAATTTATCCTACCCCCGTATCATGCTTTTATAAGGTTTCCTTCTTCCTTCATGGCTTTGTGAGCAGTAAACGCAGCTCAACTCAGGTCTCCTCACGTATAATAAAGTGTAATACCAGCACAGAAATTCACTTTAGGAACTATATTCAGAAAATCAACCTCATTAGGGACACACAGAAAGACATTTAGATCTACTAAACATGTTATTTAATCCAAAATTGTACCTGCAGGCATCCATAAACAAGCCTGTTTTGCATGAGCTGCCTGACTGATTGCAGAGACAGAGACAGGGGAAGGGGGGTTGGAAAGTGTAATGGGAACAGCGTGCAATGAGGAGAGCAGACCGGACGCCATCTATTACGGCCATCAAATAATGGACCTGAGAACGCTGATGAGAAACACATTTTTACCTCCCGCCTTTATGTGCTTTTTCCCCAAGACTTCTATTTTAGCATCCTCCTTCAATAAATCTTGCGGTCTTTTATCTCTGTTTTTCCCTTTGTCACAAACACACACTGTCAAACATGCTTCCCTTCTCTGTCACGCTCCCATCTGCAAGCAGATTTACTGAGTTAGTCAAACATCTGGTACCACAGAGCCACAAACTGCAGAAAAGTGCTCTGATGAGATTTGATGGGCCCTTCAATCACAGTGGCTCAGAGAGAGAGTCATCTGTGCACTCGTACATGGACTTAAACACACACACACACACACACTCAGGGCTGTGTCGCAGTGGGTCAGACCTGAGGTTGCTTCCTCCACTGGACCGGGGAGCCACGGTCCTTTTACGGCACAGCACCAGCAAACTGTGGTTGAGGTCAGAACACCCTGACCATTACGCATGGCTCCAAAATACAACATGCACTCAGTTTATAGGATCTACTGCTGCAACGTGGCAATACTCCCCGAGGACTGCCAGGTCCTTATGGTGAGGGTGTCTCGTATGTTTGATTGCAGTAATAGCTAACTGTGATGATGTATAAATGTGATTATATCTGTATGTATGAACCCTGTGATAACATGGGTTCAAGATGATGGTGTCAGACTGTGAACAGAGATATGTGTGATGTGACGTATCTGAGCACTGTGACTTAAAATAAATAAACTTCCTGTTAACCCCCACGGACACTTTCCTTAATCTACTACCAAGTCAACAAAATATCTCACAAGAACTGAGATAAGAATTTACTGCACATTAGACCTCTTCAACTGTAGTTCATTGACTTCTTTTTCAGCGCACAAAGATTTCAAAGAAAACAACAGCAGGTTAGGCAACCAAATCAATCTTTATGGTCAGGTTTAACCCATGCCATCATTCACTGCTTTCATGAATTCTTTTTATTATACAGGGGAAATGAGGCCAAGCAAAAGAGAAGCGCAAACAAATCTCATTCTATTTCAATAGCCACGCTGAACAAAGAGCATAAGGAAATGTTGCCTCTCCAAACTTCCACATAGCAAACACAAACAGAGAGGCACAGTTAAAGTGGCCGTCTTGTTTAAAAAGTCTGTTTAATTGATGTGGGGCAGGGTAAACTCAATGACCGTGGCCATTTCCACCTTGAGTGCTCACTCCATCACTGTAGATTTTCTCTTATTTTTAAATCTTCATCTCTTGACAAACATATTTTCCATCTACCTTCATGTAATGATATAAAACCTGCATTTGTAACCACAGAGTAAACCCATTATTATGCACATATATATTTAGTTTAGAGTTCTTGTTCTTGCTCGTTGTTCTCCAGTGTTCACGAAAGACCTACACTGCTGCAGAGAGTCTTGAAGATGTTTGGATATTTGAAGTCTCTCTAACCATGACGCCTCTTCCCTGACAGGCTGCCAACCCACTGATCTGAGATCTGGCACAACTGTAGGACAGTTGTTCTGTAGTTCCACTGGAGGAGCACAGTGACTAATTGATTTTGATCGTTTCCACCAAACACAGTCTCACCACCTCAGTTAGGATCAAGCTGCAGTTCACGGCACTCTGTGGATTGTAACACTGTGTGAAGTCATATGACAGTCAATACAGGGCTTCATATTTCAATAAAAAAAAAAGTAAAAAAAATATGAAGTAAAAACACAAACCCCCACTGAACTAATGTGGATGATGCTGAAGAAGAGGGTGTACAGAGGGTGGAGGGTATAATGTATATTGTATAATGTAAGCATAAAAAAGGACTTCACAGCAACTTGGATGGTTGGATGCCAAGTTGCAGCATTTGGAAAATCTGCTCATTTATAAAGATGAAGATTGTTTTCTTTTTTTTCAGGATTTTCGAGACTCTTGATATTTTACTTTTTTTACAGAATAATGATGCAGTCTCTGGGCACATTATTTGACCTCTTTGGAGCTTGTAAATGCTGCTAATTAGCATTCAGGCAGGTTTTCCTCATCAATAAAGTAGTGATTATAACTTCAATCAAGTCTTTCCATTGTTTAGTGAATAGATTAAATACCCAAAAGAAACATGAACTCTCCATTTAACCAACTGACAACACAGTGATGTTACTCCTTTCTTCAGCAAGTGCACAGTATGTGCTTGCAGATTCATAAACTGTATGGTGTCCGTCAGACTCACGTGGGCATAGTGCAAAACGACACTTTCCCACTCTCCTGCTGTGACCATTAACTATTTCCAGTACACGTTACACAACAAACATCAGACATTTGCCGTTTTTCTGAATAATCTTACCTTAAAGTAAAGTCAGAGCGCAGTCCCTTTGCGAGCAGAAAACTTCACCGCCTCTTGTCTCTGTCATCCTCCTCGGTTTGCGGTCTGCACCGTTTCCGCTGGGCATGAACTGCGAGTCAGTGCGACGCAGCGGATCTGTGCTGCTGCTGAGTGGACTGGAAGGAGATGGAGAGGAAGAGGAGCATCGGGGGGCGGGGGGGGAGAGGAGGTGGCTGGACTCCAGAAGCGTAACTCCTGTAACTTTTATAAAAAAAAAAAATAATAATTTGTTATAGTTGGTGAAACTTTCACTATATCCTGACAGTAGAACATGAGACAGATCATCTGTGAAAAAATCCAAACCAATCAGAGCCAAGGAAGACAGTTGGTTGAATCAACTATGTTCAAGCTACCAGACAAAGCATCTGTCTATCTTTCTCAGCTCTGATTGGCTTTTTTTTTTTTTTTTTAGCCTGACTTCTTCACAGATTATCTGTCTCCTGTA